TTATAGTTTCACCAATTTGCCAACGGCTTTGTTAGATATCTATATTATTAGAATATTTGATTCTGTAACTAACCTTTTATCGATTCATTCAAAGTTTAGACTTATAATTTTTTTGTTATAAGGCCGTACCCTAAACAAATATTGCTATAATATAACAAAATTTAATAAAACTATATTTACTTAATTGATAGGCCGCATAATATTATGTTTTATTATTGTTATTAACTTTATATTTATTTTTAATATAGAATTTACTTGCAGTAAATGAGAGGTGACATGGAAGTATTCTGTATATTTCACTAGCATTATCAATTCGTAACCTTTGTGAAACTGCAGTAGAAAGATTAAAAAATACTTATGGTGATCCTTTAGCTTCTAATATTAATATTCCATTAGATGAATGGATTCGTCTGCAATTTTGTCTTGCAAATGCTACTACAATGCGAGCGATGTATTATACTGGTTGATTCAGTGTAAAATTTAAAGTACAAAGTTGGATGCTTCGAAAAAGTAGTGAAGATACACATTATTGTGCTGCGCTTTTCAAATATCTTAGAGAATTTTGTATACAATACCGCCAGTGGACTTGTTTAATCTCTGCTGATGATAAGCACAAGATTCTTATTGAGGAAATATGCGAAATCGACACACTATAGTTTCTTAAGAAAGTACTTTGGCTGCTGCTGATCATGATTTCTCAAAACTATCTCTAATACCATCAGTTATATTTTTTATATCTATTCCTAATGATATCTCTGGGTCATTTTATGATAGACAGGTGTTTGTGTCATATAAAGATACAGTTTTTGAACCAAGCACAGCTATTAGACATTCGGCAGAATTTTTAAAAGTATTAAATATTCAATATGCATGTCAAGTAATGCTATCAATTCTATGTCTTTACACTAATAGAGATCCGGACTATTGTTGTAATTATGGTTCAGTACAAATTGCATTACTTAGTCTTTTTTTTTGTGGAGATTTTAATCTGCTTGTTGCTGTTCGTACTGCCCCAATCATAGTTGGACGAATCTCGCAGAGCGAATTATAAATACTTTAAATTTAGGGCTTCAAGGTTAGTAAAAAAATTCATTATACGCATATACGCTATATAGGTAATTTCGATAACACATACGACGAATGAACAGTAGATTTAAAACTATGTGTGCAATGCAAATCTAATTTTTTTTCCTGTTCAAGGTGTAGTGTTAAAGCGTGACTCGATGAAAGGTTAGTTACAGAATCAAATATTCTAATAATATAGATATCTAACAAAGCCGTTGGCAAATTGGTGAAACTATAA